ACACACACACACAGGTGCATGCATTTTCATGAGTTTATTTTAAGATTTTACTACACTCCGTTTATTTGCAGAAGCAAATGTCAGAATGACGATCACGTCCGGACTACAGCGCCCTAGATTTCAGCCAAACAGTCAATAATTCTAAAATTCATCCATTTCAAGCCGTTAAAATTGACTATTTTCTTTGTGACAAAGCAAAACATTAAGAAAATGCTGATGTGTAAACAAAAATGTAATTCGTCCTAGATGGCTTCGATGAAGCTAGATAAAATACAGCGTTTTATCAACCTGTCTCTCTTAGACCTTTTTCTGTGACTATCATCAGCGCTAAACATATATCACAGAAGATATTTTGATATTTGTTATTTGGAGCAAGCCCGTGAAAATCGAATCATATGGCCCATGTTTTAAGTTTAGACAGATAAAGCTGCAATCTCACTATCAAGAAAGGGAAAGTTCACGAAAGGAAAAGATTTAATCGTCACGACTATCAAACAGCTTAGCAGTAAGTCAGCCCTGTCGGTCACTGTGTAGTCTGTAATATCCTTGATGTCAACTGCAGCCGTGTACATACTATAGACGTGGGGTATTGTTCTTGTTATTTAAAACTAGTTCGTGGTCGATATTTCTGCCTGTTCTGGAAAGCTCTTCGTTTGATTCGCCGCATATGAAAGCAAAAAAAAACCAAACAGAAAAAAAGACGGCTTAGAGAAGGGCTCTGTCTGTTATCATTAGCATGCCATAAGACTAAAAAAAAACTGCTCCCGAAGTCACCAAAGACATTGTCAACCAGAAATTCAAGCAGTCTTAAGATTTTACCCTCAGTATATTTCATCTTTTCTCCGAATTAGTAGATAACCACATATTTGCATTCACATTCGTTTGTCTTTCGTGGAAAGGGAATGTTTCATAAAGGAGAACGTCAACATCAGTTTAGTATGTTCAAGGAGGATTCAACGAATGTTTGAGTTTTTCTAAATCAACATTACATAAATTCTACTTAAGATTCATGTGTCAAAATAAGACTGTAACACTGATAAAATGATACCAACAATATTCACACATTGTATGAGATTCTAGACATTTTAACACATTTTTGTTCGAAGTCTTTGGTGTTAAGAGACACGTCGTTACAGTACCACACGTGGAGCCGAAAACCCTGTTGAGCTGGCAGCCAGCTACAGGAGGGTCCAAGGCGCGGTTACCATCATGTCAGGGATAAATATATCAAAATTATATATAGCAGTTATCAGGCATTTCCGTCATTTGAAGGGGCTGAACACAACGAGTCACGCAAACATCCTAAGGGAAGAAAAACAGTCTTGTTTTATAACAAGAACATAACTTACATCTCCATATCTATAAAACTACCTTGCGACTGGACGCTGACATTCGGATTGTCTATCGGTAGATTAGCTGAGTACCGTAGCTTATTATCCGATCGATGTTTATTGTGAATATCTGATGCCATCGGCTATAGCGTTGTCAGACTCGGTGACCTTGGATTAGGACACTATACAACAGCCTATATCTTCTATATATATTTAAATACGTCACACATAAACTATCATATCGGTATGGTAGTCGGTCAGGTAAACATGTAACACTACTCTAGAGTTAGTTTAGGCCGCATTCTGCAAATGGTGGATATGTTTGAAAGATCAGTTTACATTTTGTGTTTTAATTTAAGTAAGTTATACTTACAATGTAATAAGTTGAACTTACATTTTATTATGTTGTACTGATATTGTCGTATGTTGTACTTACATTTTACTAAACTGTAATTACATTGTAATACATTTTTCTACCATTGTTACAAGTTGTACTAAGTTGTACTATTGTAATATGTTATACATTATTGTAAACTGAACTTACATCGTTTTAAGTTGTACTTACATTGTAGTAAGTAGTGCTTACATTTCAGACAACGTTTCAGGAAGCACAGTAAGTATATTTAAAGCAGGACGACTATGGGACCTTAATGCACTAAATTAATAATCATTATCTAGAAACAGAAATGATCAGCAGCGTTGATATCACAGACTTTCTCAGCCTTACGACGTTGTGCATATTGACCGGCAGCGCCAACATCTTATATATGATGTATGCTTCAGGGGGACACAGGGAAATGCGTATAAGAAGTGTTGTATTTTTGTCTAGTTATTTCAACAGAAACAAATTGAGCAGTAGGACGGAGCGGGGCATCCGGCTAAAAGTCGTGATGTCAATATCCTCGAGATGACTTATCATCATGAAAGCAAACAAAATATGGTTGATAGCGTAACCACTAGATCACACTGATTTTAATTTCATTCCTAAGTTTCAAAAATATTATCAAAATCTTTGAAGTCGACATGAGTTAGTTCCCCTCGCGATATAAAGTCGAAAGTTATTCTACGTTTCCGTTTGGTGGCTAGTATATTGGTAGAGACGTTACTACTGTACTGATCAACCTCGTAAAGATAGATAGCACACGACTTATCTAAACCGGTACGTGATAATCTTAGAATACCTCAAGCCTGGTTCGGTGTCACATTGTACTTACCAGAATTCAATACACCAGATATGACCAGACAAGTTAAATGTATTACTGATTGTATTTATTTTTGATGATGTTGCTTTCTGTAAGGCATATATAATGCTTTAAAACTTCAAATAGCAACGTATAACTTCGGAACAAAATTAAATTTATAAACAATTTTAAAACTAAATATTCTGTAGCCAAAAGGTAGTCACAATAACAAGACATAATGCCAATAATTACAAATAGGAAGAGACGTTTTGGTTTACTGTTTGTCCAGGGCGTTTTGGTTTACTGTTTGTCAAGGCGTTTTGGTTTACTGTTTGTCCTCAAGGCGTTTCGGTTTACTGTTTGTCCTCAAGATAAGAGTTTGCTAAACAAATGCATTACACATTTTTATGTACAAAGTGTTCGTAAATGTTGGAACATGTTACACAGTTAGTAATAGGGCTATTTTTTATTATACAGATGAATTTTGTGAGAACACTGGAAGACCTTTTGGACAGTTTGTACGCTGTATGGATAAGTAAGAATGCTGAAACAATTTGCCAACATTGGGAAATGACTGAAAAATATCGACAAAGGGAACTGCATTAGACATATGAATAAGGCAAAAGGCAATGACAGTCCTTTACTGAAGTGAATCAAAATCCCACCATCTGACAATTTCACTTTAAGATTGGTAATAATTGAGGATAGATGTCAAGCTCTTAAAAAATGTCAGGAATCGTTTATATAGGTGATCCATATAGAAGTGTACACAGACGCGTGTTCACTGGTACTTCGTTCGCTTCCTGAAATTTTACATTTTTGCATTACGTCACGACAGTTTGAGTGAAACTGTCAACCGTTGATATATCTTTTGTATTATTCAGTTGCTGATCCAGAAAAAACAATGTAGTCTTATATATTCAGCCTTGTTCGAAGATCGCGATGTAAGCTTGGGAGGTATTAACAATCATAAATTACATGGGTTTTGTTTCCAAGAAAACGCTTACGGAGGCATTTCCTGAATTATGTGAAAAGTAGGCAGCGTTTAATAGAAAAATCCCATCTATCAGTTCAGCTTAAAGCCAAGCCCTCATAACATGCCAAACAGAATTACAAAAATTGCCAAATGCCAAAAATATTTAAAATCTGTGCACGATTTGACTTGAAAAATCCGTTGCTTCGTAGGTCTCTTGGTTTCTTGGTGATCTTGACGGCACATCATTTGCAGACTCGTCACATTGACAGGCCACCGCTTACCACCAAAAGGATCATGTTTTAAGAATACATGTTCAGACAGATGAGGAATTATAAATGGTTGAAGCTCGTACGAAAATCGTTGGACATTTGGAGTTGAAGGAAGATCTTCGGCGAGAGGCGCAGAAAACAGAACCAAACACGACAGCATCACTTGAATAACAAATAAACCATGAGTAACCAAATTTTCTATTTTAGCGAATCAGATCAGTAAGATCCAGCAACTGGCTGGTAAGCCGGTAAGATCATCTTAGTATCTCACCATGACCATCAGCTAATTCGAGAATCGCTTAAAATTGTACAAATTCATTAATATGAAAACTACTAGGGACTCAAGAAGATCGGTTGTTTGAGAATTGCTGACAGAGTCGGTCCTGTTGGACGATCATTTTCTGAGCTAGACGTTGCTTTCATTGTTTATCTTAAATCAACCCGTGCATGTTCTATATACTAGGAGTATCAAGGAACACGGCACACGCTAAAAGGACAAATATGTCCTTCACAACATTACTGAGTTACAATTGTATTGACTTTGTTTCTGCAATTTTTGAAAGTTTTCTGCACACTTTTTTCTTCATCCTGCAGTAGACCTAGTTAATTTAAAACCAGGTTCCTGTTACCGAGCCGGGTTATCGGTAGTTTACAATTATCATGTATCGGGTTATGCTAGTTAGCCGTCGATAATCTACTTAACCGGTTTGATGCTGTAGACCAAATTACCATGGGGAACTCCAAGGAAACCCTTGTTGACCTTTTGTCACCATTATTACTCTTGAAACTTCTGTCTTTTCCTTCTTACATGAAAGTTTTTTTTTTTTTGTTTGTTTGTTTGTTTGTTTGTAATTTTTTTTCCGTTTTGTTTTTAAATGTGCCACACTGGCCGCCCCTGGTTAGACAGTTGATTAGCAGATATGTCATACTGTCGTGTCAAAGAAAAAGCATTTCATCATTTCGGTTGGGTGCCACTTTAAAATGACCATGGTGTGACTACATTGTTTAATTTGTGGACATCGTCCTAAGATAAACACTTACCAAATCAACAAACACAACCTGAACTTCACTGGCCTGTGTTTGGATGACAAGCCCCCTAGAGGCTATCATGTTTATAACGCTGTGTCCGACATTATGTTATACATGTAGACGACAGGTGAAACTGTGCTATTAATTAAATTACAAAGTGTGCATTACGCCTTCAGGTGTACAACACTCTGTCACAAATACCTTCAAGCCCTAATACATGGACACGTGTAGGTTTTGGCCTGAATTCTAATTATGAAGCTGTACCGTTTACCTGGCGGGCATGGGTCATCTATTTAACAGGTGAGGCATTTCATCTCGGCGGAGATCGTGGGTCATTTTCCCCGGCGGGTGACCATCGTGACCTCAGTGTATACAGGTTCCACTATAGCGGTACGTATTATACTGTTAAACGCGTTATAACAATTCTCTTATCTAGTGACGTAATGCTTACGGTAAGTTACGTCGAGTGGGCGTGACCATTTACTTAACGATACTATCATATAGGATATGACGTATACAACAGTCGTTGAGCTAAAGCTAAGGTTTCCACACATTGTTTTTCAGTACTTTTCTTTAAAAGGACTTATAGTATTGCTCTAAAAGAGGTTTACCGTAACCTTGATAGCCACACTTATCTCTTTTGGGTCACAGTGGCACGGTTCATGAGAAACACTTTATTAATGTTAAATTAACCAGTTCACTTCCAATTTTGAAAATTCTTATAATGAAGCGTTGTTATGCACCTCCCTTCTTTTTCAACAGTAGTTTAGACCCAGTTTGTATGTTCACCTTTTTGGGGCCCTGGCATCACTGATGAGTTCTGGAAGGACAAACAGATGTATGGTGCAGTTAATGTAGTTTTGGCATGCTGTATCGCTAACCAAATCGTGTAGTTACTATCAAATGTGTGGGCCTTATCCATCACCCGATCATTAAGACAATGACAATTCCTAATTTATAGCCCTTGTCATGGTTGTCTATCACTTATTTCTGGAATTATCTACATTGGAAACCCTCATCATCAATGGTGTTACTCATTCATTTAAACATATTCATTGACATTGTAACAGTTAAAGGGATCGGGCACAGCTTCTTACAACTTGTCAGACCCTCGCCCCAATGATGTTACTGAAATCATAAAGCTAGCTTAGGGTGCCTTACTCCCTGGAACTCTCACTCTATTCAGTATAATAGGAAGATTTATGCTTCGTATTTGGTTGCCAAATAATATTTTACAGACATCTATATATGTCCGTGGTCTTTATGACTTGTGTGAACTTGTGACCTGCTGGCTTACTGATCCCGTTATGTCTCACTCTCTCAGGCGAATGTGTTCTACAATAAAAAGGTAATCTAATAATATATATACCGTTGACCAATATAGTACAGTGTGACGACACAGATTATAACTGTCAGACTATTACAAAAATAGAATATCGGTTATCTAAATGTTTACCTCAGATAAATGATTATAGAAGGCATATATTCGGAGAACTAAGTATATTAATCCTTCGTGTCAGAAGAAACTACAATACAGTAAAAGTTTATATACATGCAGATGTATATAGAACATGTAAGTATGACGTTTTGTCGAACTTTCCCCACTTGGTGGCGCTATATAAATGTATTATGTACATTACTGAGTGACAGCAGCGCCACCAGGCATGTGAATGAAATATAATCGTGTTAATTGCAATGGATTCTGTCAGCAGGTAAAGTACACATATAAAGGGATGTAATATATTCATGAATTTAATTACACTAATGACACAATTTCACACGTATGCAGTGTGTTTTAGTCACTTGCTCCATATACGTGTAATGAGAGGGGTTCGGAAAGGAGGAGGAGGAAGATCATATTGCCCTTTCACACGAGGACATGTAGCAAGATTAACGACACAATACTTCCGCGTCAAGTCGACCGTTTGCAAGAACACATACATGCATATTATATAACAACATACTCGTCACGCTCTAATTAAATTATCTAAAAGATGTAACGTTTTCATATTTTAGTTTTAAGCAGAAATGTATGTATTTCTCCGAATATAAGTATCTTGTACTCAGATAACATATGATAGATATATAATCTAGACCCTGTACGTACACTGTTTTTCTACACTATGTTTTGGTATGTACAAGCGGATGTTTACTTTTCTGTACAATAGTTTAACGTGTGTACACTACTCCCCCCGACTTATCCTCGTTACGGCTTATCACAGCTTTGTCCGTTAACAAAGAAAGTACCTAATTACTATATTGCTGTAATGCGAGGTCATGCTCTCGTTGTTGGTATCTCTCGACCTTCACACTGTGTTTATATCGTACAAGTTATGGCGTCTTAACCTTCCCTAATCGTGGACATAGCTAATGGTACTCACTCTATCGAATGCATATTATATATATATATATATACACACACGCCGACAGGTATATGTGTGTACATAGTAAGTTACATTTACTCTTACATATATTTCTATATTTAACCTATAGTTCAGTGTTTACATTGTATGTAGTATGTACTTCATACAATGTATATGGGTCGATTCTACTTAACTGATTTAACACAGGTGCGTGAGAACCAGAATGTCCCCTTTTAAAAAAAAATAGTTTACAATTTCACGTACATCACTCTATCAGTTAACAGTTGGGGAATGATTACAAATCCCGGCTTACCCTTCACATCCATTTCAACTGTCTGTTTTAAGTATCTCGCGCATTTTTAGGAATTGAAAGGAATTAAATAAATAACAACAATTATGAAAATAAAATAACAGCGCTAAGACAATAACATTTGCACACCTCTAATTTTCTTTTATATCCCCCTCTGTTGAAAAACATTCAACTTCAGCAAAACTTCCACCTCCCCCACCCCAATCATACAACGAAACGCGAAATCCAGGGACCGTGCAGTATGGCAAAGTTCTATGGTACCTTGCTTAAGTGCGTATTGATAATGTATGACATGTGTGATGTCAATAGGGGGCGGGGAGCCATTAGCCATGTATGAGTAATGATGTCTTTGTGTACGTCAGCTATAGTAATGTACCAGGGTAATGTTTCCGTGACGTCTACTACTGGAGGTAGATAGTTGTGCTGTAGGTACATTTGTATACAGCTGTAATAGTATTTAGATTTGCAATTTGTATTACTGCAGTATATTGTATTACTGCAGTAGATCGTATAGTGTATAGTTTCCCGAAAGACCTGTCACCTTAAATTACAAGACTTGCTAGACAAACAAAATACAAAGCTGTATTCTCCCGAAACAAAACGTTTGTGATAGAAAAAGAAAATTTCCAATATCTTGTTTAGTAGTCGTGATGTGTAGCCCAACATTTCCAATATAGATCAATTAAACACATTCCGTTTACGCAGAGACGTATATATTCGTCTCTGGTTTAGCATATTGAAGGACAAATCCTATTTTTGTTTTGTATTGTGAAGTTACCTATTTCGTGTAAATGTTACATATCGCCTGACACTTAGTAACGATAATTTTGATGTTTTTTTTTTTATTGTGAAGTTACCTATTTCGTGTAAATGTTACATATCGCCTGACACTTAGTAACGATAATTTTGATGTTTTTTTTTTTATTGTGAAGTTACCTTTTTCGTGTAAATGTTACATATCGCCTGACACTTAGTAACGATAATTTTGGTGTGAGAGCTATCTCCATTATTTTCTCGCACTTTAAAGTAATTGGAAGAGTAGGCTAACAGTTGTAACTGTATAACGTGTTAGCGATTCAATGTTACTAGATCTTTATCGGGATTAATTCGGGGCAAATTGAACCTTTCTTGTGTGGAATTCTTTTGAAACGATCGATATACCCTTAAGACGAACAGATCGCAGAAACGCGGGTAAACCTACGCGTCTGTAATAGAAGTCTTTATTTATGGGTCTTCATCTTAAAATTCACACATATCGATTAACTTTTTTTTCTTCATTTTTGTAGGAATGATGGGTAGAACGTAATATTTAGAGCTAGCGTGTTTTTATACTTCCAATTATCTTGTTGACAATTCTGTTTATTACACACGACTCACACTTAGCAATGGGTCCAGATAAGCTATATTGACTACTGCCGTCAAACATATCGGTGACCTATATTTCCGTAGTGAGCAATATCGACCTCACAACATTGATCTTTTAGCTAGACGCAATAATGGTAAACAGTCGGAATAAAGGCTCAAAACCTTAGATTCTGTTGGTGTTTAAATCGGGACTTCATGTTCCTGGCAAGGTACCTAAAATTATAGAATGACATCTAGCCGATGTTTGTATAGAATTGTTACAGTATGGATTATATATGACTTTGTCATTACATACACGCGTACAATCAGCAAGGTCCCGGGGAAGTAAAAAGTTGAGATAAGGTACAGGCATTTGTTATAGATTTATCTTATATTGCATTCCCTTACAGAAGATATTGATCAGAACCGATGTTAATGAATAATCGCCATTTCTATTACAGGGAGTGATAACCCCATCGTTTCCCCGCCTGATAACGGCACGTGCGGCACCATACACACACATGACCTTGCCCGCGTCTATGGAGAAAGCGGAAGTGTCGACGAAGGACATCAGCGCCAGCTAACACAGCGAGTAATAGATAACCAGCAACACACGTACAATGTTCCAACATGTTCCAGTTTAACATCATGTCGTGTTGACCCCACAACGCTTGATTCTGGCGTGTTGTTCAGTTAGTGTTTGGTCAAATGAAGTATATTTTCAACTAATATCAACAAAACCACGGATGCTGCAGTAATTACTATACGGGATGTATTTAGATAACATCCTTTCCACCCTGGAACGTTCGCTGTCGGAATCTGCCAGCCAGAGAGAGCATCTCCAGGATATAACAGACGAATGTGTGTCGGACATACACAGACGAACGGGGTTTCTGCACGCTGCCATTGACGAGATAGATAAAACTTTGACTAAACGTGTTCTAGACTTACAGGACACTGAATTACACAGGCTGGCTAAACACGAACAACAAATACAAAAAACCCTGGTAGAGTTTTCGTCTAGAAAGGCGGCATCGAACAAACGGTGTACGGAGTTAACTTGCCACGATCCCGTAAACACTTCCTACCACGAGGAGGAGTTATTGGACGAAGAGCTTATACAAGTTCAAAAGCTAACTGATCTAGAACGGGTTTGTCTGACGTTTAAATCGGCAAGTGTTTCCCAGGATGATCTCAGTCCGATGTTTGGATCGATAGAATATTTTCATATAACTCTACCGTCCCCAATCTCGACAGAATCACATGCACCAGTTCAGTCCCCGAGGTTCTTGATCAAAAGATTTGCTAACTTTAATTGCAATGAAAGCTCACCCAACATCCACGCGCTATTGCCTATTTCTGCGACCGAGGCTTGGATTTGTTGTGGTTGGGGGAGCAAAGACATTCATCTGTACGATATCGACGGTTCTACGAAAGCGTCCTTGACCTTGGATGTCGCAGTTGACCACATGGTTATGACGTCATGCGGAGATTTACTAGTTTCTACCTACAACGGCACTGTGATAACTCGAATTGATGAACATCTTCAGATGACGAAGTTCGCAACCCTCAACTTTATTCCTCGAGGTATGACTGTATCTGATTCGCGGGAAATATACATCTGTGGTGTCGAGAGGATCCCGGGAAAGAGCGAAAGCAACCGTTATTTGATCGTCAAGATGTCGGAGGAGGGTCACGTGATCTCTGACATCGACGTTGCACCACATGACCCTCACCGAATCGCCGTGGACTCTAACGGGAACATGTTTTTCTCTGATAACAACAATAGTAGACGAGAGTTTGTTGTCATGGATTCTACTGGAAATGTCAAGGTCACATATAACGCGCCCCCTGACGACCCTCTCGATAACCCGTTTTACCCTCTCGGTGTCACACGTGACCGATACGGACACGTGCTTGTGTCGGACTGGAATAACGACTGTATCCATTTACTGGATAAAAATGGACACTTCGTCCGGTTCTTGCTCAGTTCCGGGGACGGTGTGGAGTGTCCTTCAGCTCTCGGAATAGACCGGGAACACAGACTCTGGGTCGGGAACGGGATTGGGAGTGTTAACGTTTACCAGTACGTTATATAGGATATCTGTTACGCATGCTCAGTTGTCTAAGTTGTGTTTGCCATACTTAACCGAGTCGTACTTAAACAGTTCCAGCGTATGACCATACAAGGGAGGTTATCACTTGTATAATTCGTCCGTAGTAACAAAATTCCCTTACTAACACAAGTATCTGTTAGTAGAATTATCTGGATTAAGATAAATCCCAATAACGCTTTAACGAGGTTTGAATCAAGGGTCTTTTTCAGAGAAAGATATGTAATCGCTATCAAAATGCGAGAATAAATATCATAATTTATGTGCTAAATGATAAAATATATACTTGGGTTTTACTATATATTCTAGGTGTAAGTGACACTGTGAGATATGGCTCCTGCTATTTCGTTAAGTTGTCTTTAATTGTATTTAAGTGAGACAGTTGGAATACTGCCCAAAGTGACGATTTACTGGCAAAGATACAACTTGTCTGTAAATGGGAACAACATTAATGGAAAAATATGGAAACTAAACAGATATCGAAGACGAAAACTTACTGACGGTAAGTTGTACTACTGTGTGAGAATGGAGGAGCTTGGGTTTGTAATTACGATGTACTACTGTGTGAGAATGGAGGAGCTTGGGTTTGTAATTACTTTGTACATTTTGTGGAACTTTTCTCAGGGATTAACACGTTGGTACATCGAAGCTACATGGTCCCTCCAACTGCCTGACAACTGGGGGAGCCACGCTGATGTTTACAGTCTAGTAATCGATCCTTGTTATTTAGCCGAGAAGCATGCACGATGTAGTTTAATGTCATTTAAATAAATTTGACATTCAGCATCCCAAATAAACGTCTTCTCAGATTTCTTGCGTTACGATATTTTTTCTAATATTACACAATATCGGTGACTTTACGATACCTCGGAGATCAGAATAAAAGCGTGGTCGTACGGCTTCGTGTCAATCCCCCGCCAACAATTTGCCTTGTCGTTTGTTTCTACTAAGGTGAGATGGTTGAAACGCAGTATAAATGAAACATGTTTAGCTAAAGCTGAAATAAAAAATAAATAAAGGCATGCTAACGCAGCACTATGATCAAGAATTAATCTCGTGCTATTCTGAAGCATAACATAAACTAGAGCATGTTGAACCAGAAAATAATCACAGGCCATCGTGAACCAGGAAATAACCACAGGCCATTGCGAACCAGGAAATAATCACAGACTATTGTGAACCAGGAAATAACCACAGGCGATTGTGAACCAGGAAATAATCACAGGCGATTGTGAACCAGGAAATAATCACATGCCATATTCTAAGCTGGAAAATAATCACAGGCTTTTCTGAACTATGCATAGACATTGTGAATAAGAAGAATAATCACGAAACAGAATTAACCGCAGGCTAACATGGACAACAAAATGTTAAAATACAATTCTGTAGTTGAAAATAAATGCAGGCCATTGTTAAATCACTGTTATACATATGTAAATATCTACTGATTTAACCCATCGCTCCAAGATAGACTTTACGAACTAGGATATTTAAAAAAAAGAATGCAGAAAGAAGGGTGTTTCACGTGTATTGATTTGATATTTAAACTGCAGTTTCTCGTCAATTTAAATTCAGTTTTTATTCTACATTACTAATGTTATGACATACAGTCATCTTAAAATGATCGGTAATCATAGTCTAAAGGTTTCCCCTATATCATACAGTTATAATAATCTTTCAGGCATGTGTACCAGCTAAGAAATACCTCCCCGGAAGTGTTAAAATAAAGCAGTAAAGGTATTTCATTCCACTTGGAGTAACCCCGAGCTATGTTTGGATTTTATCTGAATGTGGTTTTCCCCCATGTACAAGGCAAATCAAGATTTACAACGTCTCTAATGATACACGTCACTTGCCTCGCCTACAAGCGAAAATAGGGGACATGCTTGTGAGAGTTTTAACGAGACTCTCTTACAGAAACCTCGGATACCACCAGGACACATAACAGGTTTGAGGGACAATTACAGAGAATATCGAGAGATGACACACAGCAGATTAAAACACAAGTAGACGGTGTTTAAATGAATAATGGTGTCCAGATCAACAGTACGCTGACCAATCGGGAACCGTCGGCACTTTCCGTATATGGAAAGAAAGTGCCGACGGTTCCCGATTGTACGCATACATACGATAGGGGAATCAGGCAAGCTACCAGCATACATCCGATAGGGGAATCAGGCAAGTGACCAGCATACATCCGATTGGGGAACCGGGCAAGTGAACAGCATACATCCGATAGGAGCATCAAGCAAGTGACCAGCATACATCCGATAGGGGAATCAGGCAAGTGACCAGCATACATCCGATTGGGGAATCGGGCAAGTGAACAGAATACATCCGATAGGAGCATCAGGCAAGTGACCAGCATACATCCGATTGGGGAATCGGGCAAGTGAACAGCATACATCCGATAGGAGCATCAGGCAAGTGACCAGCATACATCCGATTGGGGAATCGGGCAAGTGACCAGCATACAGCCGATAGGAGAATCAGGCAAGTGACCAGCATACATACGATAGGGGAATCGGCCAAGTGACCAGCAACCATCCCATAGAGGAATTGGGTAAGTGACCAGCATACATACGATAGGGGAATCGGGCAAGTGACCAGCACACATCCGATAGGGGAATCGGCCAAGTTACCAGCATACATCCGATCGGAGAATCAGGCAAGTGACCAGCATACATACAATAGGGGAATCGGCCAAGTTACCAGCATACATCCGATCGGAGAATCAGGCAAGTGACCAGCATACATCCGATTGGGGAATCGGGCAAGTGAACAGAATACATCCGATAGGAGCATCAGGCAAGGGACCAGCATAAATCCGATAGGGGAATTGGGCAAGCTACCAGCATACATACGATAGGGGAATTGGGCAAATGACCAGCATACATCCGATAGAGGAATCGGCCAAGTGACAAGCAATCATCCGATAGAGGAATTGGGTAAGTGACCAGCATACATCCGATAAGGGAATCGGTCAGGTAACCAGCATACATCCGATAGGGGAATCAGGCAAGCTACCAGCATACATACGATAGGGAAATTGGGCAAGTGACCAGCATTCATCCGATAGGGGAATCGGCCAAGTGACCAGCAACCATCCGATAGAGGAATTGGGTAAGTGACCAGCATACATCCGATAGGGGAATCGGTCAGGTGACCAGCATACATCCGATAGGGGAATCCGGCAAGTTATCAGCATACATCCGATAGGGGAATCGGGCCAGTGATCAGCATACATCCGATAGAGAAATCGGCAAAGTGACCAGCATACATCCGATAGGGGAATCGGCCAAGTTATCAG